TAGTCTTGGCCAGCCTGTCTACGAGGAAGCAAATGCTCGGCTCAGCTTCCCAGCTGAGCTTCCCAGCCCCCCTCGACTGTAACCCCAGGCAATCTCCTAAAGACACGTGAGCTCCCCTGGGCATCGCCCACCCGGCTCCAACAGGGAAAAACGGGCAGAAACCTGCCCTGGCAGACAGCCCTTTCACCCATGGGTTCAGAAGCAGACGCGCCTCCCTGCGCCTGCGCGCTTTCACTGTGCCCCAGCCTGCCTTGGGGACTTTGAGCAAGCGCCCACCATAGCTGTATGCCAAGCTCTTCTAGGACTCCGAGTAGTCAAGTTAGCCATGGCATGGGCAAGTGAGTTTTGTCACCTCGCCCAGCACGTGCACCTTCAGAAGATGGGTACCTACTGGCCACCCCTCTGAAGGTCGGAGGCCACCATTCCAAAACGAGGCAGCAGAAAGACATCTTTTCTAGATGCCAGCGTGGTTGGGGACTGCAAGGCAGCGGCTGTGATGATGCCCTGGCTTTAAGCTGCAGACCCCCAATCTCTGTGGCCCAGGCTAGAGGGGCAGGCTGTGGGCCTGCAGCTTTTACACGGAGTTAAGGGCCCAGTAAAGCCACCCTTGGGTAAGCCCCCAGATCCCTCTTGGGTTCTGAGCTAGACTTCCTGTTTCTTTCCTCTCTTCCTTATGGGAGTTGAATCAGTAATTGTGAAATGACCCAGTTAAAGGATAATTACAGCCAGACTATTAAGTCCAGCAATTGAAAGAAAAAAAAAAAAAAAAAACCTAAGATTTAGTCTCCTGTGGGCAGGCTTCAGTTGAGACTTCAGGTGGTGAGGATGGAGCTCCATTTGGGAAGGGAGAGGCAGCCTGGGGATTAGCACGAACTCCTGAGCTACTCGGTGTTTGCCTTGGTTTTTAACCACCTGGGCCTGTGAACTCCCTGCAGCTGAATTTCTGAGAACCCTGGCAGAGCCATTTCCCTCACCAAGCCATTTAGCCCCAAAGGGGTCTCTGCACCTAAAGAGGTCTGTGAGAGGGAGGCATTCTTTTTGTTTGTTGTCTTTTGGCTGACCAACATTGACTATGAATAATCTCTTAACATCCACAAGCCGAGCTGGTGCAAACAAAATTTATCTAGCTGCAGTTAAAATGCCATCACCAAGGGTTCAGTTCCCTTCCTCAGTGGAGCCTCTTCGTGATCTCAGGTGGTAACTTTTCAGTCTAGAAATCTGACAAGTTCTCCAAGTAGCTTCTGTCTTTTGCTCAGAAAAGACAGTGGTGGGGCCAGCAGAAGGCATAGCGGTTACATCTCTGGATTCCCACTTGGCCAGATGTGGCTCGAGTCCCAGACCTGGTGGCTTAAAACTCGCAACTGGGCATGTATGTGTACATACCCAAGATCCTGGTAGGAGGAAGGAAGGAAAAAGGATTGCAGTGTGGCCATCCCCCCTGGGGGGTGATTTCTCACTTTCCCTCCCACTGTCTCTGTCTCTCCAGTGAGTGCATGCATGCTCCCTAAGACATAAATAAATAAAAAGACAGTGGTGTGGAGGGCCACCTTCCTCTCAGTTTTGAGTGTCCATGCTGAGTGATCAAGCAAAACGGCTACGTCTGTCCACTGTGGGACTTCTTACAAATCCGAACTCATCAGGGACTCCTAACCACCGGACCCTGCCTGTTGGCCAGAATTCCTTCCTTTACTTGTTAAACCCCAGAGTTACTTTACAAGGAATCTAGAACCTCACGTGTATTTTGAGTTTGGGTTTCGAGCATCATGAGCAATCAGATTGTCCTCCGCTCTCTCTTCTGGCAGGATGGCTTTTGTCTCTTCTTCAGGACGTCCTCCCCGCTGATTTCCTGGAGGAGACTGCTGATCCAGGCTTTTCTGTCCTGCCTGCTAGCAACAGCCCTCATCTATTCCTGGACACGATTATTATAAATTCTCAAGGTCAACCCATTTCTACTGGCCTAGCTGTGACCAGCGAAGGGACAGTCGGGGATGAGACAAGAACTGAAGCAGACCACCTTCCTGGGGGCATTTCTATCTGCATGTATGCAGGGAGTCCTGAGGGGAAGACCTGGCCGGTGTTTTAACTCCTTCCAAGTACTCAGAGGTGTTTGATGGCTTTCCTTTGAGTGGGAGTCTAAAGGTTCAGGGCTCCAAAAATTGCATAAGAAGCTGCGTTCTGTTAAATGGGAAACCCAGGTGCTGCTTGCTCCATTTGGATAAGAATGACTACAGGCCTGTCCCCATGGTGTCCTGTGTCACTGCTAACTCGTGCACATGGCCGTGGTACAGGGGCACCCTCCCAGCTTAATAAGGACTGTAATAGTCACAACTTTTATAAGGCATTCTTTGAAACCTAAGTCCTCTGAAATCGAATTCCAAGGACTTCTAGGTTTCTACAGTTAATATTTTACTTCTTTGACTTCAAATTTTTAATAAATATATATCTTTTTAAAAATAAAACTTGGTTTTCCTCTGATTCAGGAAGGCTTTATTCTTAGACATAACTTGAATGGATGGCCATTTCCTTTTTTCTTGTCTCTTTATGCAATATATAATAATACTGTCTTTTCAACATCTAACCAACATGCAAGTTCATTCAGAAGTCCTTCCTCGGGGCCAGCAGACAGCATAGTGGTTATGTTGCTGGACTCCCACATGGCCAACTGCAGTTCAAGTACTGGACCTGGTGGCTTGAAAATCATACCCAAAATCCCGAAAAGAGAATAGAGGAAAAGGGATTGGGTCATGGTCAAATCCCTGGGGGGGTGGGGGAGTGATTTCTTACTTTCCCTCTCACTTTCCCTCTCTGTCTCTATCCCCAATGAGAGCACGTGCCCTAAAGCAAAAACCTTTTTCTATTTTTTAAAGTTACCAGCAGGTGGTGTGGTGGTTAAGGTGCTGGACACTCTCACATGGTCAACCACGGTTCAAATCCTGGACCTGGTGGCTTTCTCTCTCTCTCTCTGTCTCTCTGGGTGAATAAATGAAGAAATAAAATGAAATGATTCTTTTAAAAAAAAGAATGCCTTCCATTCTGAATCACCTGATCATCTGCAAGACAGTGTTTTTCTAGGGCGCTTCTGGCCATGGTTACATTGCCATGTGTCATTTAACAATGGGGATACCTTCTAAGAAATGCATCATTAAGTGATTTTTTTCACTGTGCAAATATCACAGGGTGTGTTGACACAAGCCCAGCTGGCGTAGCGTACTGCACACATAGGCTATTTGGTATAATTGTATGGGGCCGTGCTCACGTATGTGGGCCACCACTGACCGAAACGGCGTTAGCTGCGCGTGACTGTACTTGCATTTTGTCCAGCTTCCCCAGACCTGTTCTGACTTAATTTTACAGGCTTTTCTCCAAGGCATGCAGCTCTGCCTTGCTGATCAGATCATGGTAGTGCATTTTCTATTGTGACAGGATAAGCCGATCTAGCTAGGCGCCATTGCTGTATTTTTTTTTTTTTTCAAGCTATTAGCAACATGGTTGCATGGAATTTCCTTGTGCACAACTTTACAAATATGCAAAATTGGTGAAAGAATCCGAGGAAAGAACTGAAGTCAGTTTATATCTATTAAAATCTGTCTGGGGCCAGCAGGTGGTGCAGGGATTAAGGCGCTGGACTCACATGGCTGACTGCTGTTCAAGTCCTGGACCTGGTGGCGGGCTCTCTTTCTCTCTCTTGCTTAGAAATCACGCCTCAGGGTGATGGCCATCTGCAATCCCTTCTCCATTCTCCTCTCTGGATTCAACTGTAGTTCATCATTTAAGTCTGCCCCTCATAGTCCAGACTGAAAGCTCACGCCGTGCACAGATGATTGTGGCTGGTGTGCTCAGCCTTTGTGGCCCGGCCTGAATCCATGGTCACAGTTTCCACCCTCTAGAAATGAGCATGAACATCTTGTACTCGTTTGCCTGAACAGCCATAAAGAAACACCACAGCCTGGGTAGCTCACACCACAGACACCTGCTTCTCCGTTCTGGAGGTTACAAGTCCAAGATCAACATTCACCAGGGCTGGTTTTCCCGGAGGCCTCTCTCCTTGGGATGCAGATGGCCCTTCTCACTGTGTCCTCCCATGGCCATGTCGGTGCCCACAGGCCCCTGGGATTTCCACCTCCCCTCATAAGGACACCAGTCAAAAAGCCCCGCCCTGGGACCAGCAGTTAGCTCAATGACTATGTCGCTGGACTCCCATGTAGTCGACCATGGTTCGAGTCCCGGACCTGGTGGCTTAAACTCACGCCAGGCATGCGTGCGTGTGTGCCCAAGATCCCGAGAGGAGAATGGAGGAGAAGGGATTGCGGCGTGGCCAACCCCCCTGGGGGGGGGTGATTTCCTGCTTTATATCTCTCTGTCTCTCTCTGTCTGGCAAGCGCATGCTCCCTATAGCAAAAACCTCTCCAAAAAAAGAAAGAAAGCCCTGCCCTTACCTCATTTCATTGTAAATACTTTCTCAAAGGCCCTGTCTCCAAACACAGTCACACTGTGGGTTAGAGGGGGACACAATACATCACAGCTGTCAATCTCTCATGCCTTTCTCCATGGGACCCTGGCTGCGCTCCCCTCCCAACTGCCCTCCATGTGCCACCAGGGAGTGCTTCCCAGAAAGCAGTCTATGATGTGGAGTTCCCCAGTATTCCCCTCCCACCCAGGGCTTTCAGATGCAGTTCAGACTGCTTCAACTCATCTACAAGGGGCTGTGTGAGTGGCATCTTATTCAACTCTCTGGCCTTTATCCTGTGCACAAACCATCCCAGCATGCTCTGCCTTCTCCTGCCCCCACGCCCCACACCACAGAACTTCCGTCCTGGAGCGCTTGGCCTGTGAGCTCCCACTATCCTCTCACCTATCGTATTCTCTGTGTTGCTGGATCATTCTTGCTATTCAAGACATAGCTCAAGTGTCTTCTAGGAGCCCCCTGGCAGGGCCCTTCTGCACAGCGTCCTATCCTGCGTGCCTGTTCGGGGCTCAGAGTATGGCTGGCTCTTGACTTGTCTCATCCCACTGGACCATTGCTTCCTTCAGGGCAGGGACAGTGCTCTAGAAAGCCCATGTGGATGCCCAGCATGTAACAGGACAGTGGAGGGGACCTGTGGGACTAACCCAAACACCAGTGCTCACACTGCTCCTAAGCAGGCCGCTCTGCTTGGGCCTGCTGAGGACCCTGTTCAGACCACCCTAGGGGCTTCCTTTCTTACTGAGTTTGCAGACCCAGCATTCGCTGGCCCTGGCTTCCAAGCTGCCTTGATAATGGTCGTTGACTCTGCTTCTGTGATGAACTAGCTGCACTTGTCTTGTGCCTTGAGACACAGTCATGCTTTGTACAAAAGTAACACCAGAATGGGCATCAAATATGAGGTCTAGGTTTCAGAGGAGTGATGTGTACTTGAGGGAGTTAAGGAGGTAAGAATAATATCAATACGGCTCTCCACTGCAAGTGCCCACCAGGCTGCAGCCCTACACATTAGAAAGTGTTTCCAGGGACTACTAGATTGCATAATGGATATGTCACTGGACTCCCACATGGCCAGCTGCAGTTTGAGTCCTGGACCCGGAGGCTTGAAACTCACACTGGGCACATGTGCATGCGTGCCGAAAATCCCAAGAGGAAAATAGAGGGGGGAAATGTTTGAAAAAGAAAGAAAGAAGGCATTTCCAGGTGAAAAGAGTGATCAATGTCAATTCTTCTTTTTTTTTTTTTTTGGAGAGGTTTTTGCTATAGGGTGCGTGCACTCGCCAGAAAGACAGAGAGACAGAAAGAAAGCGAGAAATCACCCCCCAGGGGGGATGGCCACGCCGCAATCCCTTCTCCATTCTCCTCTCAGGATCTTGGGCACGCACGCACATGTGTCCGGCATGAGTTTAAACCACTGGGTCCGGGACTCAAACTGCGGTCGACTATATGGGAGTCCAGCGACACAGCCATTACTCTAACTGCTGGTCCCATCAATGTCAATGCTGGCTGATGAATCAGGTAAGACCAGAACTGAGAAGCAAACACTGAACAATGTGGAGGTCACCAGTGATTTTAGGAAAGCAGTTTTGGTGGGAAGGTAGGGGAAAAGCCTGCTGAAGTGGGTTCAGGAGAGGACGGGAAGGGATAAACACCAAAATCAGAATGTATAGAAACTCTTTCAAGGAATATTGCCCTAAAGAAATGAATGTGATAACTGGAGAGGAAGTGGAACTGTGACCTTTCCATGTGCATTTTCAAGCATAAACAAAAACAGGGAAGAGTAAAATGAATCCACGTCTACTCATTAAGCAGTTTAAATAGCTATCAGTACTCTGACAGCCGTGTTTCACCCAAAACCACATTCTTCTTTTGACTGGATTATTTGGAGGATTATTTCACCTCCGATAGCTTCATTATGTATTGTTTATAAATGAAAGGTTAATAATTATAGTCATATTACCATGGCCACACATGCAAATGTATTATTTTATTTTATATATATGCATGTGTGTATATATATATTTTTTTTTTTTCTTTTTTGTTTTGACCAGAGGGCACATGCACTCGCCAGAGAGTGAGACAGAGAGGTAAAGGAGGCAGCACCCCCCATGGGGCATAGTCACATAGCAACCCCTTCTCCTCCATTTCTCCATCCTGTAGGGATCTGGGGCACCCACACACGTGCACGTGCACACACATGCACTCGGCACGTTTTTTTAAGCCTCCAGGGGCCAGGATTCAGACTGCTCAGTGGGCGATGTGGGATCCAGCTTCCTTTAACCACTAAGCCATGGAGCTGGTCCTTTTTAGGTGTTTTTGTCTTTCCTTTTTAGGTTTTTATAAAACCAAAAAATTAAGAAAGAAGTAATAGCTTGCACACATGCTGACAGGAATGATACAAGAGACAGAGCAGTTGATGACCAGTTAAGAGAGAAAGGGGAATCCAGCAGGTGGCCTGGTGGTTAAGGCATTGGACTTCCAGCATTCCAGTTCTGGACCTGGGAGTTTGCTTTCTCTCTCTCTTTTTCTCTGATGAGCACACATGTCCCATGGCAAATTTAAAATAATAATAATAATAATAATAAAATATTGTTTTTTCCAAAAGAG